ATTAGAAATAGATATTTATTGTCTATTTAACCTGTGTAAAAATTAAATGCGTCAAATATACCACATAATGGAGCATAAAGAATATTTCATTATTTTCTCCAGATTATAAAAAAAGCTTTAATTATCACTTTCTATTTAAATAGACATTCAATATATGAAATTCTTGATAAATCAAGAACATTCTATAAATTTCTTAATGTTTATAAAAAGAAAAAATTACACCACGATCTCTGTCAAAATCTACAGCTCCGACTATGTTGTTGAAGACAAAAATGATTGAGGTGGCGATCTGGGAGGAAAGGCCGATTTCGGGGAAGCCGGTGGCTGCGAAGAAATTGAACGTGTGCTTCGTCGCCCTTCTCCAATCCAAATCTCGCTTTTGTTCTCCATCTAACTAATATACGAAAATTGCACTTGCCAAATATACCAAATAATATAATAATAAGAATACATCATGATTTTTTCTTATATTGTAAAAATAACCTAAGTACGGAGTATGTTTTGGTCACATAAACAACAAGCGTCTGTAATTCATTGTAAACAGAAACTTATTGTCTGTAAAATCTAAATACAAATTTACATCTGTCAAATATACCAAATAATGTTATCATAAAGAATGTTTCACAATTTTTTCTAGATTGTAAAAAAGAAAAAAATTATAATTATCACTGTTTAGTTACACAAACACTAAATATCTATAATTCTTGATACACAGACATTTATTATTTGTGTAATTCAAATAAAAATTTCATCCTTCACACCTACGAAATAGTACTGTACCAAGAACATTTCTGAAATTTTCTTATGTTTAAAAGAAATGAAAAATTACAATCAATACTTTTTAGTCACACAGACACTAAAAGTCTTTATTTTCTTGAACACAGACATTTACTATTTGTGTAATCTAAATCAAAATAGACATTTACTCTCTGTGTAAATATATTTCACAGACAAAGAATTTCTGTAGAATCATTATTTATTCTCTTCCATAACTATTCAAAATTAGCGCAACCTTGTTCAATTTTTTTTATTTAATAGATCTTCAAGCACTTTTAAAAACACAAATCTTACAAAATAGCAAATATTCAATATCTATGCAACTTCATTGTAAAAGTTCTATGAGATAGTTTCTCTCAGACACCATATACCTGTGTGGTTCTTAAAATGATGAAATATCATTATTTCACAAAAATATTAAATCAGACTCCAAGAAGTCACAAATAAACATCTAAGACCAACTACAATCATAATAAGAAGTTTTTACAAGGATTTGATTTGAACAAATCAAAAGATTGAGGTGTTGATGGTGACGGGGAAGGAGCAGACGACGACGGAGTTGATGCAACACGGCGATGGGTAAGGTGGTGGTGGCAACCACAAGGAAGAGACCACCGGCAGAGGAGATGATGCAGCGCTGGGAAATCGATGCTTTTGGTCGAAGAAGAGAGACAGACGGTTGCTTCTCATCTCTAGTGGTCTATTTTGTGGTGGAAAATAAAAGGGGGAGGGGGGAGGGGGTATATGGGGTACATGGGGTACACATGTGGTGTACCCCTAGCACATCCGTAATCAATATATTTGCAAATCTTTACTCAGATTTAAAATAAATAAATAAGGCAAAAAATGAAAAAGTGACCGTGGCCCATTTAATAAGCTCAAACTTGCCCCAGAAAAGTGTTCTCATGCCCATTTCATTAAAGCGGGAATACTGTTCATAAACTCCTCTTACCATTGTATATAAGAAGATACTTCACTATCTCAGAGAGATTCAGAATAATTTTCCTCTAGGTGGAGATGATCATGATTAGAGGTATAGTATGATACTATGATGTGCCATTTCCAAAGCTTTTTCTGAATGGTGTTTAGAAGTATCCTTGGTATTATCCTTCTTACCGTCCACAGATTCAAACTTTTGGATTGTCTCTTCCACAATACTGGTCACATCTTCATTGGATGGGGGAGAGTCCAAATTGAAAACATTATCCTAGTCTTGATATGAGGCAGTCTCCTGGGTGAGCTTATCAGTATTTATGGGACTTACCTTATTTGAAGTATTCTCCTAGGGTGGTTGCTTATCCTCAACAAAATTGGCTGGTCCAGCTTCAGGTTTGGAACTGCCTGCAGTTGGTCCTTGTGTTGCCCCTTTCCTCTTGACAATTTGCCAACCGTCTTTGGAATGATGTTTTTTCTAAGAAGCAGCAGGTTTCAGAGGGATCTGAGGGTTCTTCTCATTCAAAGTCTTTTTGCCAACCTTCTTACGGTCAGAGTTGGAGTGACCAGTTTTCTTGCAGGTTGTGCAAAAGGCCTTGAGTTCCTCATAAATAACTTTTTGAAAGATGTGCCTTTTACCATCCAAAATATGAATCCTTTTAGGGTCCGTTTGGTATACGGAATTGATGGAATTGGAATTGAATTGAAATTGAAATTCCATGGATAGAATTGAATTCATCAATTCCAATTCATTTTATTGCACTATCAATTCTAAATCCACATAATTTTTGTCTTACCAAACACTAGAATTGAAATTAAAGTCTTCAATTCCAATTCCATAGTTTGAATTTCGTGTACCAAACGGGACCTTAGGATTATCCTTAGTGAGATCAAGCTCCACACATACCCTAGCGAGGGATGGCCTGCTAAAAGTTGTTGTTGCAGCATCAATAGTCATAGGCTGACCAATCATATTGGCAATAGATAGAAGATCCGATTTTGATGAAGATGGAGTGGTAATCCGGGCAGAGATATCCAAGTGGGCACAATTAGAGGGAGATTGGAATGATCATAATCATGTGTCCACTTGAAAATTTTCATCACAAAACCTTTGATGCTCCAATATGTCCTCATAAACAGACGGTTATAATAAGTTTCCTTCATAAAATTGATAAGAACACATTTATCATCCAGAAATCCAACCTGGAAATTTCCTTCGAATCCAATTGACTCCAGCGTTGCCTTGATCGTCAGAAAAAAGAAGGTCTTCTATCGTTGAAAACTCCAACAAGTGCGAATTGAAACTTGGAAGATAAAACGTCGTCCTCCTCTTGGGAAGAGGGGATTGAAGGCAACCCCTTAAATTTGGAAATTAGCTTCTGAGGGATAGATGGAGATGGAGAGTGCGGTTCCTTTGGCGATGAAACACCCTTGACAAGCAGTGGCGTAGGAGGTGCATCTATCGGAAACCACCTCACCGGACAGCAATGACATACTCCCTCATTCCATTCCATTGTATTTATCCACATTTGACTTTTGGAACTGTTCATCTAAGCACTTTGACTTATCAAATTCTCTCAATGTGTAAGCCTAAATATAGTCATGTGTGATCTTGTTTGATTTGTCTTAACATATAGATTATTAATATATAATTTTTATAATTTTTTAATATACAACTTACAAAATAAAATGGATTAAAGAAGTGCATTGGATGATGTGTAAAAATGAAAGTGGACAAATACAAGGGGACAGAGGGAGTATATCTATAGGGTGAAGGTTCAGTTGAGAATGGTCCTTACTCTAAAAATGGTGCATTTTAGGGCCATACCGACGCATTTTGCCTTTGTACTAAAGCATGATTGGTCTACATAATTACCACAGTGATTTTTTCAGGTTTTAGATTTTTTTTATTTTGAATAGTCTCTAAATCTTAAAGGTAATGGAACATATGATTTCTCATTTTTTTAACTGTAAATCATTCTCATTTGATCGTATGTAGTTGCCGTTGATTTAATCATCAAATAATAACATTCTTCATAAACAAATTAAACAATTTTCTGTATTTTAAGAATAAAAAATTTATATTCACAAATTGTTAGTTTATGAATTTTTTGACTGCAAAAACTGCTACGAACAGAAAATAAACCAGTCCGTATATTTTTATAGAAATCGCCCCTAATAGGACTAAAACATTGTGCTTATCCCTAAAATAGGAGTTCATGTTTTTTATCCCCCAACTAGGACCTCTCCCGCCACATTCTTTCTTTCTCTCCCGATTTTGCCCTCCTTTTCCTTTCCGTGTCACACTTCACAATATGCCCTGTCTACATTACAATTCTTTGTAATACATATTACCACATTACATACCGTGACACTTTACATTACAATGGTTCGTAATATTCATTACCACATTACAGATTATGACACTGGTAATATCCACATTACATACTTTGTTGGACTATCATGAATTTTTTTAATTGCATATTAACCATTGAATATTTTTATTTTTTGTTATGCATTTAAAGTCAACATGTCCATATGAGTTTAAAGGACAAAACATAGACATGTTGTGAATTCTAACTGGATCAATTTATTTGCGTTCATGCGATGGCTGCTATTAGGAGACGTCCCCGACTTATCTTGTAATGATTTTATCTCTCCTTTCTACAAAATTGAGGCGTTAGTATATATGTACATATGCTGGTATAGTCCATCCAAACACATAGAAATCCTATTCCATTAGTGGAAGATCCAAACACTATTTGATATCACTTTATGTTGCATTACATGACTTTTTTTAGTATGATTTAATTGTGTTAAAATTGCTTGTACTAAGATGTAATGTACTTTTTAAAATGTTCTTCCTTGTTGACACTTTTATTTCATAATTTCGTTTCATCTAAATAACCTTTGTCATTCAATGCTGTGTACAGTGCCACAAATTGGCATATACATGACCAACTTTAGAGACTCTTATAAATTGTTGTACGTGTAAATGAGAAAACTAAAATTTCATATTGTAAATGGCCACCTTATGTCATCAATAATGCAACACTTAACTTTAATAGTAATATATTTATTTTATGTTTGGTAGTTAAAGGTTTGCGGCAGAGATGAGAGGGAGGGTAGGGTATTTTGGGGATGGCCATGCAAACTAAGTTCTATTTGGGGAATTTATATTTTGGACTCCTATTTAGGTATATTTGATATATTTTAGTCCTATTTAAGTTTTTTTTTTCATATTTCTATTGTTTAGAGTTTTGTTTTAAATTTTGAAAACGGTAGAAAAATCCAAAACAAAAACAGAAAAAAAACAACAGAAGGAAACCACGTACCATACTATAGTGAACAAGCCTTAGCTATAAACTAACCGTGACGGCACCATTTTTCTCGTGCCAATTTATTAGGAAAATTCTATGGTGGACATAAGGTTTACTATGGACCTACATATGAGTAAAATTAAAATTTTTTATTAATTAAATAAAGATTCATTATTTTTTAAATAAAGAAATAAAAAAATATTTATACGAGAAGATCTACAAAAATGATATGCATCCAAGGTGTATCAAAGAAGCACTCAATTAATTAATAAAAAGACTTCGTAATTAAAATCAATTTTGTGTAATTGAAGAGGACACATTTTTTAATCAAGTTTTCCACATGATAACTTATGGGTTCATTATTTATTCAAGTAATATATTAGGAGTAGACAATAAATTATTGATTGGTATTATAATTATATTAATTCTTGCGGTCATCATCGGGCGTCAATGTGGAGTTGAGGCAACCCGCCAAGCAATACATGTCGGTGGCGCCACATTCGGTCCAACACGCCACAGCTTCGGTCGTGTCGGTCTTGGAGCCACACGTGTCACCACAGGAGAGGATCCCGGAGCCACAAGTTGCGAGGCAGTGGCCTAGCCGGGTCGGGGACGGGTCATCCATGTCAGCAACACCGTTGCATGCCACCACCGCCAACACTAGAATGCTCAATGCTATTATTATTGTTGCGTCGTCCGGTTTCCGAAGCAAGGCCATCGTATAATATATATACTTACACTATATGTCGCACACACACAGTACAGCAGCTTTAGTTTCAATAATTAATCAATGTAGTGCTTATGCATGTGTATATATATGTGTGTGTCATATATGTAGAGTGTACGCACGCATTTATATGGGTGATATACTTGGTCCGTCCCTGAGTGTTTGTCCACTTTTGAATTTTGGAACTGTTCATTTAAGCACTTTGACTTATCAAATTTTCTCAATGTGTAAGCCTAAAAATAGTTATGTGTGATCTTGTTTGATTCGTCTTAACAAATAGATTATTAATGGCCTAATAGCGCTGGTACCCCTCGTGGTTTGCAAAACATGCACCAATACCCCATCTGTTTTCAAAACTCATTTCTAAAGTCTCCGTGGTTTTAAAAAGTTGCACCCATGCCCCCTCTGATCAATTTCCGGCCATTTTTCCGCAAAGAAGGGGGCATCGGTGTATATTTTTTAAAACATAGAGGGTAACTGTGCTGATTTTTATTTCTCGCAATTTTTTTTCCCATTTTTTCCTTTTTTGTTTCATTTATTAATAAAGGTTTAAATTTTTATAAAAATATTACAAGAATTTTAAATTTCAATAAAAACAAACTTTTTTAATTGTATATTACGTATACATGCAGAGTTTAATTGTTTAAAACAAAAAAGATTTATTTTTCATTAAAAAAAATCTTGAAGTTTTTTTACTCCTTATTTTATTCTTTGTTTTATTTACAAAAATAAAAATGAATATCGTTTCGGTCATCTCAATTCTAAGGACTTTTTTAGGCGTGTCCAATTTTGTTTTTGTATAAGACTTTTTTCCGTATTTTAATTTTTTTCATTTCGATTTTCCATATTTTATTTTTTTATTCTGGGTTTTTTTTTGAAATTTCCAAAAAATTACTCTAAGTAACAAATTAAAAAGTGAAATTGTTTAATTTGAGATAGATGTAATAATGTATGTTAATTTTTTATTTCTATTTTTATTTCAAACACAAAGAATTTTAAAATTTTTGAAACATTATAAATAATTGAAAATATATTTTTAAAAAATCTAGGAAAAGGAAAAAGAGATAGAAAATATTAAAAAAGAGAAGAATAATAAACGAAAATAAGAAATGAGCACGAATGCCCCCTATGGTTTAGAAATTATGCGTCAATGCCCCCTCTTCGCCGGAAAATGACCGGAAAATGATCATAGGGGGTGTGGGTGCAACGTTTTGAAACCACGGGGATTTTAGAAATAAGTTTTGAAAACAGAGGGGGTATTGGTGCCAATTTTTCAAACCACAGGGGGTGTCAGAGCTATTTGGCCGATTATTAATATATAATTTTTATAATTTTTTAATATACAAATTACAAGATAAAATGGATTAAAGAAGTGCATTGAATGGTGTGCAAAAATGAAAGTGGACAAACACTCAGAGACGGAGAGAGTATCTTATATGGGTTTATCTTTGTGTGTGATTGATCAAGTAAAGTCGAGACCATGCATATAAATCATGCTGCCCGAAAAGGGGGGAAATCATTTTGGGTTGTCTGTAACAAACCAAACTTGCATTCTATTGCATGCGAAGTATATGCCAACTAATTAATTAATTACTCCCTTCGTCTCAATTTATTTGCAACATTTCAAATGGCGTGCAAAATATCATCTCTTTTAAATCATTTTATTTTCAAATTAGTAGGGTAATAAAAATTAAAAATTACACCATTCAAAAGTATATAAAAAGTTCTACATAACAACATGCGACAAGAATATTTTATTTTATCAAATGGTCAACAGAAACGAGTAAACAAACAAAAGTTATCGAGAGGTCAGAATAGTAACTATGGCATTCTTTCTGGGACGGAGTGAGTAATTAGTACCTCACTCCCAGAGTATTTGTCTACTTTCATTTTTTCGAGTTAAATAAAATGAATTTTGAGCCGTAATTAAGTAAAAATTATAAGGTATATTAGTAAAAAAATGATTTTTAATATATTTAACTTGTTTAGAACTTTCTAAAATTTATTCCATTGTATTAATATTAAATAAAATTGAGAGTAATTGATGATTAAGTCTGTCAAGTTTGAATAAAAAAAGTCAAACGAGACAAATATTCTAGGATGGAGAGAGTATATTGTACATTCATCAATATTTTCTTGAGTCACATCAAAATTTTAGGAGTTTTGTGGAACCATGTTAGGTGTATGCCAACATTATTAAACTAAATTAGGAGTAAAATATGACGATAGTATCAAAATAGAAATGTAACTCCATATTTATATTCTCATGATAAAAGTTACTGATGGATATTGGATTGACCAGTCGGCCATGAAGGCTCGAAAAGCTTCACTAATATAGCATGGCCCAAAGAGAATATACTTAAAGCCTGGTGTAGAATGCGATGGGCCGAGCAACGTGATCAAGTAATGGCCGGGCTAAGCTCGACCCATCCACTAACCAAATCACACAATGCGGGTCGGGGAGCGAGAATCCCACTGATCGTGGATAATTGACGACTAATTCCCTGCACATGATTAACACATGATTAGCGATTAGCCGATATTGTAGTGCTCGGATTGCATACCAAAAACATGGTAATGTTAGACTATAAATAGAAGACGTTCTCCTCTATTATAACTCAAGATGAATCAAGCTAGTACAAGTACACGAGAGTTATATATTCAATCTATATCGTTCTTATTTATGTGGAAGTTCTTCGTGCCACCATATTTATTGGGCTAAATCCTATCATTAGTCCTTTCATTAAGATATAGACTGTGAGAAAAAATACCTTGAGAATACACATACTAGGAGCATGTAAAAATTCATATATTCTCAAGGTAAAAATTCAAGTGAAAGAATTTTTTTAAATTTTAAATTAGTAAATTGATTTTTAAAGGGTTTATATTTTATTTCCTCATTTCTTAATACTTTTAAGATGTTTTATATGCATTTTATACTTAATGAAAAATACTGTGAGAAAAAATTCATATTTTTTGCATGTTTGTATACACATACTAGGAGCATGAAGTGGGTAGGAAAAAAATTCATTACATGTCAAATTTTGCATTTTAGATGCAATTTGGTTATAAAAAAATTAAGTATAAAATGCATATAAAACAACTTAAAAGTACTAATAAATGAGGGAATAAAATATAAACCCTTTAAAAATCAATTTACTACTTTAAAATTTAAAAAAACATTCTTTCACTTCAAAGCTAAGTAGAAATTATTTTTATCTGATGTCAAAACTTTGAATTAACTAAGGTCATGCCCACTCGGCCTCGGCACTAGAGATGTAAATGAATCGAATATTTTTTGTTCGATTCGTGATTCGTATTCGTTTAAGGTGATTCGTATTCGATTTTTTCAAATCTGAATACGAATACGAATCTGAAGAATTATTCGAATCCTTATCGAATACGAATATGAATTAAGAGTATTCAATTCGTGAGTTTGACAAATATATTCGGAATATAAATCTAATTATATATATATATATATATATATATATATATATCTAAATGAACTGAATATTTTTAAATGAACCGAATATATTTAAACGAATCGAATATTTAAAACGAACTGAATATGTTTAATATATTAAACGAACCGAATACGAATCTTAAAAAATATTCGAACCGAATTCGTATTTGAATTCGAATATCTCTCCATCTTAACGAATATGAATATTTTTCATGAATATTCGATTCGATTCGGTTCGTTTACAACCCTACTCGGCACAAGGCGTCAGCACACCAGCCCCACCCAGACCTGGGAGCTGCCTAATTAGTCAAGATCAAGGGGCCCACGATTGGACCCCTGCCACACCTCTAGCAGAGTTGTTCTAGCCACCCTAGTTGTAACCTATTTTGTATAGCAACCCTAGGAATAGTGATGCGGTTAGGCGCCGCCAGTAAACAACCCAATCTTAGTGGGCCCGAATCATTGGGCTCCGCACCAACGGTCGGGAACCCTCTGTTGTAATTCGCTTAGAGAAAGGGGAAGTGACGTTGTCACTAGCACGATAATACTTGCAATCTACTTGATTCCCAACTGGTGCACTCTCGACTCAGTTCGATACTCTTCCGCCTAGTCTCCTAGGCCTTGGGTTCCTGAACCCAATAATATATATTTTTGAATAATGTAATTTGAACTTTTTATTTTTCTATCGATTTGCATGAAAAAGACTAAAGTAGGAGTAAAATATTGAAAATATACTAAAATATGAGTTCCACGTTTTTATTCTCGGAATAAGAGTTAAAATGCAGTTTATAGTGCGATATAGAGTGTCACATTACCACAATGCAAACTTCTATTTTGGAGGATAAAAATACGGAGATACTCTTTTGGTCTCTATATTTTACTCATATTTAAGGTAATTTTTTGTATATATAAAATGATTTTAAAAGAGATGATATTTTATATATTGTTCGAAATAGAGTTGACTGCATCAATACCCACTATGGTTTGCTAAATGTGTACTGTTACCCCCTATAGTTTTGAAAACATAAAGGGTAATGGTGCACGTTTAGCAAACCACAGAAGTATTGGTGCAATAATCTCGTATTACACTGACACAAAATGAAGGATACTTGTGCAATAGTGTATGCAAACTGGTGCAATAATCTCTCATTTTGTGTCTGTGTGAATTGTCACCCTAGCAATCAAATATGATAACCAATTCGGGACACGTGTTACTTGTGAATAGGGGTGGACACGGTACCGGTACGGTACCGTGATCGGCAACGGTACCACCGGTACCCGCCACCGTACCGCCGGCCGGGACCTAGGACCAGTTCCGGGAACTGGTACCGGTGCCGCCCCACTTGGTACCGGTTCCATTGCCCAATTTTCGGTACCTGCACCGCCGGTATCAGTACCGGTTTTAATTTTTTTTTCCTTTGCTTTCTTCCCAACAGCAACCTGCAAAAAAACAAAGGAAAAGTCAGTGGAGGGGGGCACCTCAACGGCTATTTAGCCGTTTGAGGTTGGGAAGGGGGGAGGGGAGGGGGGGGGGGTGATAAACAACTATAGATTATCCAATTTCCTTTCAAAAAATACACACTCAAATACTAAATCCATCTCTCAATCTCTCAATCTTATTATTTCTTTTCAATTTTTATACAATTTATATTCATAAAATAATATAAATATATATTAATATTTTACGTAATAACCTATAATTAATACATTCATTATTCAAAATTATCAATTATCATACATTTTTAGTTGATTACTAATATTATAATTTCGAAATTTTTGAAATTTAATATATAATTTATATTTTAAATATATTCTTTACTTTTTGAAATTTTCTAAATTTTAATATATATAAAATTTCGAAAATTTATTAAATTTTCGATATTTAATATATTATTTTTTTAAATATCAAAAAATATATATATTAAAATGTCGAGAGAGTCCAGTAGAAGGTCCGTGGATATGGGCGTCGTGAACCGAAGTTTGAGGAAAGGCAACGCTAAAGCCACCTCCGACGGTTCGACCTCACGCGGTTCTCGAGGAAGACACTCCGTCTCTTCCTTTCCTACTATCCCCAATCAAATCATGGGCGACGATTTGACAGATAAAGAATTCGACCAGTACATTTCTGGTAGAGGCGACGCGAATCTCCCCACTCTTGATAGTTTATTCGAGGATATTGATGAAATAGGACTGGACAATCTGGACGGGGACGGGGAGCCTACACCGCATAGCACCGACGTCGACGAGGAGGCAGGTGAGCCCGAGACCTCTCAAGGTCTGGACAAAGGTAAAAAAAATTAAAATTAGATTTATTTGTTTATCATTTTGAAAAAGAAACAAAAGATGGCATAGTTTATGAAACTTGTAAATATTGTGTCACCGTCATTAAAATGGGAGTTTCCGGCAGTTATGGTGGTCCGGAAAAACACATAAGGTCGAGGCATCCCGTGGAGTACGCCAAATACGCGGCGAAAAAGAAGGGACGAAAAGAAGTGCAAACCCAAATTTCTCGGTTTGCTAACAGGGGTAAGGGCGGCCTTTTTGCTTATAGCGACGAGCAAAATAAACAAAAAATGGCCGAAATGATTTGTGAAGAAAATTTGCCATACATGTTTTCTGAAAAACTTGGATTTATTGATTATTGTCAACAGACATTAAACCCTCAAGCAAGCGGTTTTTCAAGAAAAACAATTAAACGAGAAATTATTAGACAGTATAAACTTGAAAAAATAAATTTGGCAAATTTTTTTCTCAATTTTAATTATCGTGTTACTATTTGTTCTGATATTTGGGGTGAAACATATCATAATTTGTCTTATATAGGTGTTACTTGTCATTGGATAGATAGTGATTGGATTATGCATAAACGTGTTCTTGCATTTTGTGATTTCAATGATTCTCATACTGTTGAAAATATTTTTCTATTGCTTCAGAGTATTCTGCGGGAATACAACTTAGTTGATAAAGTGTTTGAATTTGGTTTTGATAATGCTACTAATAATTCTGCTGCTATTCATAGACTTAAAGAAATCTGCCCCTACTACGACTATGGGTAGATTTCTGTATCAACAGTGTTCCTGTCATGTTTTAAATTTATGTGTTCAATAGGGATTAGAAGCTATGGGGGGGGGGGTTTGACGAATATTAAAGATGAAATTAGAAAAATTTGGGGTAGTCGTCTTATTTCGAAGTCCTGAAAGACATTCTGTAAGTCTAAGGGTAGAAGACAAATAATATTTGCCAAGGATATCAACATTAGATGGAATAGTTATTATAAGTTGATAGCACAGATTTTAAGCTACAAAGAGGAACTTGCTGAATTTTTTAGGGAAATACATTTTTTAAAGAGTGCGTTATAATCGCAACATGTTTTCGTGAAAGTTTGGCTGATCCAGATTTGTACCCTTATGTCTCTCCTATGAAAAATAAATAGTGTGCTTATTATTTGTAAATTCCTGATATTTATAAAATAGGTGTTATTTGTAATCCACGTTTTAAGATTGAAAATTTTAAAATTCTAATTGACTATAACTACACTTGGTTTTTAGATGAAAATAGTTATTACTACAACCTTTTAATAGAATGGAAAAAAGAAAGAGATAATGCTATAACTCTTTTTGAGAATTTGTTTAAGGAATATCAAGGGTTATACGGTAATGTACCAGAAGAAACAACACCTCCTCCGCCCCAAATCAAAAAAAGGTTTTAGAGGAATAGTCGGTGGGCTTCTTTCAAAGAAAGGGAAGCGTGCTCAGCCTTCGTCTAGAGCTGGCAAATCGGTCGGTCAGGTCGGGTTCGGGTTCGGTCACTTCAAGTTCGGGTTATTTCGGGTTCGGGTCAATTTGAGTTCGGGTTGAGAACTGTATGTTCATGACCCAGTGTCATCGGGTTCGAGTCGACCCAACGGGTTAAGACTTTGGTTTTTTAAATTTTTAAATTCACATTAACACTTACATTTTCTATTAAATAAATTTAAAATATCAAAAAAAAGTATTAAATCTTTAATATTATTTTATTTTAAACTCTGAAGTAGTTTATATATATATAAATAAATATAAGAAATTTAAAAATGCTTACGTTTTGGAAAAAAGTAAGATAATTTTGCAATATCATTAAAATTTTATCTGAAAATATAAATTTATACACTAAAAACGAGTAAAAAAGTATATAAATTTGAAAAATTCTTACTTTAACGGGTCGGTCAGGTCGGGTTCGGGTCCGGTCGGGTTTGACCCATTTTTAGCGGGTCATTTCGGGTTCGGTCAACTTCGGGTTCGGTCATCAAAACCTTTGTTCAAAACCCAGTGTTTTCAAGTCGAATTTCGGATCAAAAACAGGTCGGGTCACTTATTTACAGGTCGCCCTTCTACCAGTTCAAGTGGTACGTACTACGTACCTGTGGTGCCTTCTTTCAATTATTAAAATTTTTTAGGAAAACGCAAAGCATCTGTGGTGCTTTTAACCGATGCTCCAGGACTTCGAGAGCTAAAAATCCGTCTATCTTCTCCATTAGAAAAGCGCGTCCGGTCTAGAAAAGGGCGCATGTCCGATAGGCGATCGTCAATCTTCATCTCCGTCTAGCTTCTCCGTCTCTTCGCTGTATTCCCATCTACCACTACCAGATAGATTTGCAGCGGCTCTCGCCGCCTTCATATTTGTCTTCTCCGTCTAGCTTCTCGGCCTTCATACTTCGATTTCCCTGTATCGCGGCCGATTTGGAGCGGCTTTCGGTTTCTGCCACCATCTCTTCTACTTCGGGTGAGATTAGGTATGGATCTCTTTTATAGTATCCTTTTTTTGGTTTTTGAAAGAAAAATTGTTCATTCGGGAATCAACCTCTCTTGCTCGGAATATGGTCGTGATACCTTGAACAGATCGGGTAGTTTTTTTCCGGAATTTAGACTTTATTGAGGATGAAATGTTGCTTTTTAATGATGTATTTTTAAAGAGATGTTACTTTAGAGTAAGGATCTTATTGACGATGAATCTTTTAAGGTATATATCTTGTTTTTTAAAGTTTGTTTACCTTGTTTTTTAATGTACTACTGCTCGAGTTTTGGATGCTACTTTTTGCCAAGTAGGTAAAAACTAGAGAAGATTTTTACAACTTTATGTTATGCAAGTCTTAGGTTGGGCAAAGCTTTGTGTATCGTTTGTACTCAGTGCATCTAAAGGTATTATTTTGAAATTAGATTTCAAATAGATTCATAAATGGATTGCATTTTGAATAAATTATTTCCTAATAGTTTTCAGAGCCAATCTGTGATAGTCCATTAGATGGAAGAGATAATTTTGGCTTCTCCATTTCAATTTTCAATTAGCCCTAAAGCCAGTAAATTGTCTTAGACACTCAAGTCTTTATCATTTCCTCTTGTTGACGTTTCTTAAACGTC